GCGTGAGTCGGGGACAGGGGGAAGAGGGACCTGCACGGGGGGCAGCGGGCCAGCCCTCAACCCCCTCCTCATGCCACCGGCAGGAGAGTGAAGAGTGGATCCTGGTGGGACGGGTGATCGATCGTGTCTGCTTCATCATCATGGCCTCCCTCTTCGTGTGTGGCACTGTTGGCATCTTCCTCATGGCTCACTTCAACCAGGCGCCCGCCCTGCCCTTCCCCGGGGACCCCAAGCAGTACCTGCCGCAGTGATGTCCGCAGGCACCCGCCAGCCCTCCTGCTGCCGGGACCGCTGGAGCCAGGGGCTGGGGGCCCCCAAACCAGCCTGCCTGGCTGAGATCCCTGCGGGCACAGCAGCTTCTGGTGCCAAGCACAGCGCTGGAGGAGGACTGGGGGTACTGGGGCTCTGCCACCCCCCAGCAGTGGTGGTGATGGGGAACGGGGGTGGTCATGCTGTGCTGAACGTTGGAAGTAAAGCCTGTGGCAGTCTCGCAAGCCTCTGTGGCACCATTGCTGCATGTCCACTGATGGGGTTACCCCTCATCCAGGCTGGATGTGCCACCCATGCAGGCTGGCCACAGACCTCTAAGCCACACAGTCCTGTCCCAGCACCCTACAAGGGTGCTGAGAGACGAGACAAGGGGAACTGGAGCTGAGTCAGGCCTCTCATGGGCCATGCACCAGCACTGGCAGCAAGAGCCATGTTACCCCACTGCAAATTCACAGCTTCAAGCCCAGGGCAAAAGGGGCCCCCTGGCATCCTTGCCATGGTGGCAACGGGGCAGGAATCACTGATACAGGCCCCCATCCCAGGGCAGCAATGGAGCCATGGATGGGATTAGGGGCAGGTAATTCCTCCCTCCATTTATGCCCCGTCCATGGCTCTTGGGGGCAGCTGAATTGCTGTCCCTGCTCCCTAGCAAGCAGCTTGGAGTGGGAAGACCCTGGGCCACCAGGCTCCCAAACCCCCTCAGGGATGGGTGCCCCTTGGCACCCACCCTGCTATGAGCATCATTACATGACTCCCTCCCCCGCTGGCCCTCCTTGCCCCACAGGATCATCTCTGTCAAGCACAGCCCCTTCCCCCCATCCCAGCGATGCTGCATCCCCCCCATGCCCCTCACTGACCTCTAGGGCGCCCGCGGCTTTGTCCCTGCTGGCGGGGGGGATGGGGGGGGGCGGAT